CAAAACAGTTACAATGTTTAGACTAGACACGTGCGCTCAGTTGGAAATCTGGTCGGTTATATTATCACAAGAGAATTGCAGTTTTGTTACGGTTGATTAATCTACAGCTGTTCACGAGAACTGATCTAATAGCTGGCTGTTTTTCTGATAGGGTATATGTTAAAGTCTCACTGAACCCCTCTTCTGCCATGGGTGACTTCACTTCCTACGAGAATGCTAAGACGTGGCGTCCCAAAGTCTAACACCTTTGCGCCCATTCCACCACCCCTCCATGGTAAAGCCACTGCTACTTTGATTCTCTTCTCCCCGGGGGTGGTCAACGGAGTGAAATCTGAAATCGCTAAATCCCTCCATGGGACTGACAACAAATGAACCGTCACTGTCTGTAAGATAATGTAATTTACACACAAACCATAAAATTGAAATACTTATTTATGCCGTTTGTATGAGAGGAAACTGGTGGGATCAGAAGAGAAATTTAAATGCAAGCAAACTTAGTCTTGTGCGAAAGGATGTTTTATACCCAACTCTTTGATTGCCCAGGTCATTGCTTTTTCATTTATGTTGGAAGTTGTGATGCTTCTTGCTTGGATTACTAGGAAAATGAAAAAAAGAAATGGTTCAGCTATAGCACCCTTTCGGTGCCTGACTGCCATGTCATCCGAAGGTTGCAAGAGTGCTGGGATACTGCCAGGTTGCTCAAACCTAGATAGGGGAAGTCGAGATGCAGAGATCGGGTTCGAATCACGGACATTCCGCTCAGTAAATTCGCGCTCTAACCACTTGGACCATTTCGTCCGGATTAACGGTGACCAATTTGGGACAGTCTTTGGAAAGCACAAAAATTTCGGGACCATTCTTAGCTTGTCAAGTTGGCGTGCGAAGTCCGAACAAAGGCCTAGATGTTTCAGTTTCTCTTCTGAAAGTTTGATAGGTTCGGTTTGTCAGTATGGGACCAATGCGTTGATGGTAGTGCGTGGCAGAAAAAGGACTTGATCTAAGGGAGACAATGTTACCCAGAAACCACTTTAATAGTAACCGCGTGAATAGATCGTAAGAGTAAAATGCTTGCATGTGAACATTTTAAACCCGTTTTCCCAGCAACTTGGCTACGGGAGTATCAAGTGCATTCCGGTTTCCTCCAAAATTCACAAAGTTGAAAATAAGGTCATATCTACGGAACCTGTACCACTTTTCAGGTACTGATTGCGGAAGGTAGTCTTTTTCGAGTAACGACCATCATTGTGGAAGGTCATCAGTGTGATAAAGCAAACTGGCCGTATGTTCTTTGAAAGGAAAACGAGGGAATATTTATTATGGAAGGGATACTTTCGTCCGCATTTTAACCTCATTTCAACTTCATCCACTTTGACTTGAAACGTTTGGTCGTGGGAATCAATTTTCTCAATGACTACAGTCTCAAAGATTCTACAACTTATCTATGACTGAAATTTTCATGAACTAAATGTCTGTTTACATACCCTCACAAATGGCAACATTCTGAATGCTAAGTTTGTCTAGGAATTTTTACCAAATTGCCTTTTCCTGTTCGGTGTGGTAGCTAGCTTGACATCATCCAGAGCAGCAAGTAGAACACAAAGTAGATGGAATCGTGCTGATACGACGACCCGCAAGAAGGTTTTTTGACTAGTTTTCAGTAACCCACGCCTATTGACCTTCTTGTGAATATCGTCAAAATTTTTGTCGCGTAATCTTGAGTAATCGTCACATCTGTGTAATTTCTATTTTTTTCCAGGTGGAACAAATTAGATTTATTTTGAAATCACCTCGGTCGTTTTTCCAAGCTTCGAAAAAAATTTGTTCCCCAGTTTTAGTTGTGCACCCAAGTTCCTTTTTCCCGCGGTTTAAACTATCAGCCTGGACCTCGTTGCACACATGGGATTGGTATACATTACTCACATTAGAACTGATCCCCTTGTTCTCGTCTAGATCGACAACCGTTAGTCTAATCGGTAGCGTTTTCAGTTTTTAGCTAACAGGATTAACCGATGCCGGAAGCCCAAAGGAGCACCAATTAGTTTGGTGGGTTCTAGATGTACAACCGATCCTATTTCCTTGTTATTGGGGCGTTCTGACTGGGGTACTTGTTTTGGGCATAGAGCAGTGTGGAACTGAATAAAAGTGAAACATAGAATGCTGTTAGAAAAACGATCCTTTCAGTTTATGCTTACTTGGGCGCTGAAGTCTGCCACAAAATAACACGGAGCTAAGAATGAAGCGCAAGTATCTCAAAACTTGAAGCTGCCTATCTGAAGGAAGTTGTTTTATTCGTCGGTGGTGACAACCGGGATACGAATACAAGCCGATATACTCTGCACAGCAATTGCCCGAATGTGAAAGAATGGTGAATCAAGGATCCCCTGTTTTTCCGCGTGGCACGCATTCACATAGGCTTTACCTACCAGCCCAGAAACGACGTAGATTTTACGATTTTTCAAAGTCCGACAAAACAAGGCGTAGTTGTGGGTTTTCTGTTTTTTTCCAACCCATAGTAAAACACGACTGTTTTTGGGTTTCTCTCTGTTTGTGCGGAATTGAAAACAGAATCGCACCAACATCTACACAACTGCGTTTTTCACCTTCAACCGGTTTATGGGGAAGATTCGGACGGCCTGATAAAGAAAATGCCGCGGGGGGGCTTGTGGCTAACGCTGGTTTAGTGTTCATAATGGACCCCAGCATCTAGCACAGTAACTGAGACGTTTATTGCAGTCTAGGAATAGAGTAAAAATAATACTATTCTATTTTGTTCAAATACGAACAAGTTGGCGGTTTGTGATTCTTGAAACGGCCAAAACAGACTAAACTAGATGAGCACTGATTCACTGGTCTTTGCGGCTGCTGCGAACCTTGGTCGGTCGCATGTTTTTCTCACCTTTGAGCCATTCGAAAAACACCGGTGTTTTGTTGATGTTCGGTAGGACAAATAGCTTACACAGTGGTTTTCAACCCGATACATGGATCCAATACCAGAGTTTTGCAGTGAAGTGATTCATTTCGGCCTTTGAGTGAAGCCAATCAATGCTAGAAGGCCGCTAGACACTGCAGAGCTGTTTCATCCCGTTTCAGTTTTAACTACACGACTATCCATCAAAACATAGAAACAAAAGTTTCAAGTGACAGACAACTCTGATGATTAACAGTTCGCATGAGATCCGGTGTTGATTTAACTCATACTAGCCAGATATCATACCTACCGGTAACTCAAACTATTTCTTGAGACTCAAATCCCCTCCATATTACTTGCAAAGTTAAGTTGCTCCGACTGTCGGACACATGAATGCTGACTCTCACTGACGATCGCCATGCCAGTCAAGGGTCAAAGGGGACTTGTTTGGATCGATAGTTGACAACAGCGGCACCAACAGTTGATCAGTCTTGAATTCCTGGGTCGAAAGCCGAAAGGTTTATGAATCGTTCAAAAATAGATGTGTGGCGTTCCGTTATACACTAGTCGGTGAACCACTCTGAGTGATCAGTCACAAGTATATTGCAATCAGGCTCCATTTCACATTGACAACATGCAGCCAAGATATGCTTCTTGCTTAGTTGATATCGTCGGAGTACCAAACTCATCGGTCTATATGACTAGGCGATCAGGAGACTTATAAACCGTTCCGTTGAAAGCCGTCCACGCGGCTATGTTCAATCGGCCACCGACGGTCAAACTAGTTGTCCAAATAACTGGGCTTTTGCCAATCATGACTAACCATATTTCCCGTCTTTGGCTTGGGCTGTCAATTATGGTCAGTGCCGAAATGGAGCTGCTTCAGTCAACCAGTTATCGAATTTGCCAGTTCACCTGACTACTTGTGGATGATCAGACGGCCCATCGCGTGGATATTTACAAAGACTTCCACCAAGGCTGGAAAAAAATTATAGGACTCGGACAAAACATAACGAAGTCAATAATGAGAAGATGGATTCACGCGACTGTAATTGCATGGGCTGCATAAGGTGTTACCTGAGGTGTTGGTCTTTTTCACATGGAGGTGTGTAAATTGGATCCAGCTCGAGGCACCGGTTGATCGAATCTGCCGTGGAGTACCATGCTTCCAGAAATTCTCTTCCGTATCTCATGTCTCCGTATGCCAGAATTTTTGCGTTTCCCAGATTGACTTTGTGGCCTTCTTGGTCCTCGTGTATGGACATCAAGGACCGGGGGTCATGTCTCCTGATGGCCGCGTTGTGTTCCTTAATTCGTGTGCATAGTCTCCTCCCAGTTTGTCCGACGTGGAATTTCTTGCAGTTGTTGCAGTTTAGTTGGCATATTACGTTGTTCTTCTTGGTTTCGTCTCGGTTGTCCTTCGGTCTAGAAATTAATTTCCTTATGGTGGAATTCGGTTTGTGGGCCACGAAGTTTTGTTTTGAGCCAGTAATCTGGTTGCGAGTTCTGATTTGTTCTTGCTTCGACGACAAGCGTTTTATTTGCAATAACTTCGGGATTACAGATCCAGCACAAGTTAGAATGTTTTCACGAAACCACCACAAGATTCAAGCTGGTGAGATTTACCAACCCAAAGAGTGTAATAAGTCTGCATTTGGTTTCAAAGGGGTTGTTGTCGATCGCCTATTGTGAGGGCTTTTCGTGGTCGTACAAAAATCAGGTGAAAATAATGCATTTTGGTGCAATATCCGGGTCTAATATAGATTACAAAGTACACAGTTTTAAACAACCGGTAAAATTCATTCAGAATTTTAGATGCACTGAACACATTGCTCCGTAAGTTCGCAAGACTAAATCGTTTTCGTAGACAATATTGGGCACAGTACTTTGAAACAATTTCTCAGCATCTGCGCAACTGCTCCACAAGCCTCTTCCTTACCGCCTTCTTACCACGTATGAGCGTTAAACAGGTTCCAATAGAATCCAACCGGTTTTTTGAGCTGATGTTGTGTACGCTGTCTTTTAGAAAGAACGCCTCGTCAAAATCAACATAATTGTGGGGCCACAAGCGTCTCATTTCAGGCTTATTTAGATAGCATCTTCCACCTGTAGCCGTCTGATAGATTTGACCGACTTTGTTGATCCCACGAGCGACAAACTCGAGGAGTTCCAGACGGACTGCTCCAGTGGTCTGTAAGTCTGAACCTGTACTACGAAGAAGAGTGGATGTATATTTGTAATACACTACTCGTAAGGTTGCCCCAAGAAGTGTGAAACCGGTCTTGGGTTGTAGAAGAATTTTCAGCAACCTTACAGATACACATGTATCGCGATATCTCGGATATCGTACCAACTGAAACATAAGGCGGCCTGGTGCAGTACATTCAGTTTCCTGGAAACATCACAACCAAGAGATTCAGATGGGTTCTAGCTGAGTCTCTCGCAAAACCAAATTGATTTGCAAACGAGTGTATTTCGCTAAAGTTTGGATGTGTTTTTACAATCAACAGTGTGTGCACTTTACACGCAAACTGAAAAATGTGTTCTTTTGTGACAGTCTCCTCCAACCTCCGCTTTAGTGTTAGGATTCATTCAGCTTCAGCCAACTCTCGAAGTTTTCAGATCTACCGAATAACCGTTGCTTTGCCAAGTCCTACTCCATTAAAAACCCATAAAGTCCCAGAATTAGTGATACCATGTAATCCACAGGGCTGACCTTTTACAGAAGCTTTATAGCTGAGATCTTACGGTTTGAAAAACTGAAAACTCTGCTAGATTGGAGCCACATTTTTGGTCTTTGAACCAAACGAATTTCTGAATTTATGTGGTCATTTCCCAAGGAACAGTTTCTCTCCCTCGACTTTGTTAGGCTTACGGACAACTTAGGAACCTTGTCATTCCACAACACGTTGTTTGGTCCTTTGAAGTAAGTGTCACAGTAAACGTCATCCTGAACTACACATATAACCTGATCTTCAAATCCAGTTACTGATAGTGACCATTTCTCTTAATTCCAGGTGAAAATTTGGTTCCAGAATCGGCGATACAAGGTCAAGAGACAACAACAAGACAGAAGTCTTGAACAGGCTACGGCACTGCAACACAGTATCAGACGACACGCCGCCACTGCGGAAAAAGGAAGTGCTTCACGAGTGTTCGCAGTAGAAGGTCCAATTTTAAGTCCGAGCGCCCGAACAAATGCAGTGATTCCTAGTTCACCGTTTTATGCTGACCCACAGCCTCTTGGTCAGTTAAAATGGTTCCACGAAAGTCGAGACCTCGCAGACAGTGTCCGTTGTTATCCATCTGTAGGTGATTGTGTGTCTGGAACATTCACACAAGAACCACGTAGTATCCAAAACTTTTCCTCACACTACTCTTTTTCGCAGCTGTTTCCAGAACCATGGTCACATATTTCTCCTGAGACACGTTTGAACTGTTTCCCATACACACCACAGATTCACTCCAATCTCCGTGAGGTTTGTGCACATTCCATTCAGCAACAAAGTTCCGAAGATTTTAACCATACCTACACGCGCTTTTTTCAGGAGAGAGCCAGAACTATGTGTGGAACTTTGAAAGATCCTGATAACATAAACCAGCATGGTAATTTCGCTGACAATTCTACGGCCAATTCGCACACCAAAGCTACAGATTTTCAGTTTGAACCATCTATCGATTCGATATTCCGAAGGGGTTCGTCATCAGGCATAAATTTTGAGCGTTGCTCACCAACAAAGGAGTCAACAAAAATTATCAGCTACCTGGCGATGAAGAGATTGTGCAATAATGGACATTCAGGATACTCAGGAGATGACGAGCCCCATTGGAGCTTGAAGGATATAAATCAGTGGCACACAACATGTCCTAAGGTGGAGGGCAGCTCACCGATTACAGAAAACGCAGGAACATTTGCGGCTCCCCATTTGAATGGCTATCTAGGAGGGTGTTGTGGCTTCAACGATACCCAAGGACCCCTGGTTGATTCCGAAGGTGCAATGCCTAACACAGAAGAGGCTAGCGACTCGTCCAATTCCCAGTCGAATGAGAGGCCAGTGGATCCAGAGGGTTACCTACCAACTCCTGTTCATGAGGATTCTAGAGCGGTGCATGTGGACCCACTGAATTGCACTCGAACGGCACTTGAGGATTGGAAGCGGGCTTTCACACAATCGTTACAGGCTCAAGGCGAACTATATGGATGGCCGTATTCGGGGCTTGAATGATAGTGTAACTTTAAACAGAGCATTTTGTGGCTTGACTTATGGACAATCTGTGAAAAGCAGCCGTATTCATTATTTGAAAATAACATAAGATCTCCACTTCATCTTCCATTGTTTATTGATTTCCGTAAGCAAGAATGTGTCCTCATGAATAGGTCATATGTTCTAGGGGAAACTGGGATCTCTCGGAGGTGGGTGGTACAACTGATTTCTTTCTGTCTTTAACTTATTGTTTAAAGAAGGTCAACCGCAGTCAACAAAACCGCCAATTTATGGTCTTTAAGAAAAGATATGAGTCTACAAAGCCAGCATTACCTTTTGTCGCTAACTCGACTGTCAGTCCACAAACGCGCTCGAATCCCCGATGGTAGCAGGTATCAAAGTGAGGATGTTTTTGTCAAAGGCACCAAGTGAAGGCTCTGCCGTACACTAGTGAAGGGAGCACCCTGAGGAATGACAAACTTTCAGAAGCGAGAACAATGGGCTAGTCAAGAGAAACATCCTTTGATGGTGGTACACCAGACTATTCGAAGTCCATCAGAGCAGAGGTACATCACTTAACGTAGCTACAGACTGCTAATATTGCAGAGGGGCAGCTCTAACCTGATTCTAGATTCATCTAGCTTCTTCCTCAGATTAAAATACCGACCACCTGGAAGTCAAATTTTTACCCTGAGACGTGAATTTCCTATTGATGTGACGATATATCGCCCATCTTACCGGGTCTAACAGTGATGACCGTTTAGTGGGATGCAGTTTTGAAACTTGTGGGTTTGTTTTGTTTGTCTGTCATGTACCGATCGCAAGCTTGTGCACGTCACGATTACTGATACAACAACAAGATTTGCTCTCATAAGCTGGGTTCAAGTGAGTTCGACGTGACCTGGGGGGGGGGGGACCTACATAGC